CACACCTGATAGCCATCGGGCCGCTAGTCGTTCGAGAAAGAATGAAACTGCTAGACTGATGATCTCCGTTCAACACTTTCAACACCGGCAACACTTTCAACACTTTCAACACTGGCAACACTTTCAACACTTTCAACACTTTCAGCACCGGCAACACTTTCAACACCGGCAACACGGGCAAAGTATGGCCAAAGCCTTATAGAGGTGTTTCGTTTGTGGATACTACACTTTCTTCGCTGAGGCCTCGGGCAGAGCTCACGCGAATTCATCTTCGCGATTCATCGCGACAAGACAACTGTAACAATATCAATGCATGCCGATCTTCTTACATTTCTGTTGTGGTAGTTATTCAACACGACTAATCGTGACTAACTATCACAACCGAAATACTAGAAGATCGGCATGCAATTCGTGACACTTGTCTTGAAGCGATGAATTGCGACGATGAAATCGCGTGAACTCTGCGCGAGGCCTGAGGCTGCGCGCTACAGATCCAGCCTTTCCCAGTGCTTTTACCCTTACTATTCTAGTCGCTTATGATGTCCTCTATTAGCGATGAACGGAATAAGCTTCAATACGTAGACACTCATAAGTTTTTTATCTTGATCTGTAGCGCGCACGTGATTCCACTGCTTTTCGTCAGCTGTAGAACAAGGTCTGCTACTCAAGTTTCAAAATTGAATAGTTTGAGCACGAGTTTGAGGCATAGAGTCGTACATTGACTTCATTTTTGACTCGCGCTCAACAATTGGAGCAAAAGTTTGCGTTACAAAACCATGGGGGTTATTGGAGTGCTTCAGACAACTTGCCTTCCCAATGGTGCTTTGTGAAGCGGTAACATTCGTGGCAGATTCTGTATTACGAAGAAAATGATTGCTTTGGTCTCAACATCATGTCAATGAAAGTTTTTCGCGGCTCGCAAAAAACGTTTACCGTTTTTCTTCTTTTCTAGGTTTTGACCCCTGAGCAGCGAGTGAAGAATAGTGGCCTGAGAAGAGACGGCTCAAAGCGGAGGTTTGCGACCGCTGTGCAAAGCCGAGCGAAGCGGACGCGAAGGTTCAAACAGCTGGAACTGTGACACTGTCAATGTAACAGTTTGCATGTTGCGAAGAATGAAAAGCTCTGGGAATGAAGGTCACAGAAGGGGAAGGATACTACTCCCAATTGTCATAGCTCGAACTAATAGATAATCTTACTATCAAATTCCGCGGCTTCTCCGAAGCTTCTATCTCCGGTAATACCTCCGTCACCACAACTTCCGATGCGATCTAGAATATAATGTCACTAACATAAGATACTTCAGCAAATGGAAATGTAACACCGTGGTTTCGTCATCATCCACCCCCAAGGAGATGTCGATATCGCGATGTATATACTAAAAATGCACTACTGATACTAGTAATCTTGTCTCCATGCAGCTAAAGGTCGTCATTAATAGACACATTCACAAACCTTGAATATGAGGTACATGACAAAATGCAGCCAGACCACAAATACCCCATAAACTCTCAAAGCGCAATCCATGAACGTGTCTGAGGAGATTCTTATAGCACTTCGCTAAACAGTAGAAAATTCTCACAGTGTAGTGGAAAGTCCTTCTTCTTCGCCTCAGCAAGGAACAAATCCAGTCTAGTATGGGTAACGTTTGCTGCAGCCATTTCCTTTTCGGATAGCCGACCAGCTGAGAGAATTCAGAGAATGCAATGGAATCACCCACAACTACTGTAAATGTGTTGACTTCTAGTCGTTACTTGTTGTTTGAACATGTCTGTTTTGTAATACTTGTAGAAGTAGTTTCGAGCTATAGTTTTGTAATACTTGTAGACGTAGTTTCGAGCTATAACCAAAATTGGTAACAGTACTTTATTGGGTGACGCGACGTTTCGGCGTTCGACCCTTATTCGGAGCCTGGAAAGTCGAAGTCAAACACACTATACGGTCAGACGTCAGGAACAAATAGAAACAAAATCGAAAAGAAGATTAGCCTAGAGAGCAGAGCCAAAGCCAAAAACACTCTTTACTTACTTTAGACGTAGCACAAGCTTAGTTGAAAAACAGACTACCTTATGCCAAACTGTGCCTCAGCCTCATTTTTATACGACAACATGACACCTGACTTCATGCAAATCTACAGAGGGGTTGACAAGGTGCGAGTTCGGTGGTGATCGCAATGCACTCATCTTTTCTGTTCATTTTCGAATTTTTAGCAGCTACTTAAAACGCTTCCAACGTTTTGCGTGCTAGGATTTCGGCTCAAACAACAAGATCTTCACTTTATTTTGAACTTCAACGTTTTCGTGGCGTCTCTACGATGTTGCCGCAAAGGTGTGGAGTGCTTAGACTTATTTAGCCCACCTAGATGTTCTTTGATCAAACGCAAAGAGGGCCGCTCTCTCCGATGTAGGTGTCGTCACTTGATAAACAGATGATCAGATAATCACTCCTGACAGCATGCAGCCACCCTCTCTGCTATATGGGCATACTACACAACTTGGAGTCAAACAGATACGGTCATACATACGGTTGCGAATCAGTTGCCGCTTTACTGGCGGTAGTATATTATAAACCACTCTGACGGACTCTTGCAAACCCGCGCGTGTACGCATCGCCGCACTGCCTGCTAAGAGCTCATCCGAAACAAACGGCAGATGAAAGGAGATCTTGTCTGCCATGCTAAATTCATCCGTTTGAGGCACAGTTTGGCATAAGGTGGTCTGTTTTGCAACTACCTCTTGTGCTACGTCTGGTGAGTAAAAAGTGTTTTTGGCTCTGGTTCTGCTCTCTAGACTAACCTTCTTCTCGATATTTGACCGTATAGTAGCTTTTGACTTCGACTTTCTAGGCTCCGAAGAAGGCGTTGAACGCCGAAATGTCGACGTCGCCAATACAGTATTGCTACCAATCTTGGTAGTAGCTCGAAAACGACGTCTGAAATTGATTATAATGTCAAGATTCAAGCACAACCGAACAATGCCGATATTCTGTTGTAATATTTTCATTGCTTTCTTCAGCTGATGGAAAACTTTTGAGTGAAGCAAAAGCCAACAATTTTAACGTTGGTAGAAACGGATATGCTTAACTGTTTGCGAAGTCAACATCGCTTCATTTAAATTATTGGATGCTACAGCACAGAACTGCGTCGCATAAAGCAGGACTTGTGAATCTTGATGATAGTCGCATGCATTTTTTTCACAAAGATATGCCAGTTACCCATCCGAAAAAATTAGCTCTGCTCAAAAACTTGCGTTCAATCTGTTCCCGTCGGGATCAGGCCAGATGTTGAGCTTGAAACTGCGCGCTTGCAATGGCAGAGGCTTGCACGACATGTGTATTAGCAAACCATCGTTGGGAGATTGAAGAAGATAAGGATAACACACAGAGCTTACACGACTTCCCATAGCAAGTGCTGGACGTGGTGCAAAACCATAGCTGTACGGACGCGCATTACGCTAAGGGTCGCATGCATTAAGTCCCAGCTGGAGAGAGTATCGCAGCTCAAAAAGTTTCACATCCTGATGCTTCACGTATGTAGTAGATTTCACACTGTCCCTCTATCCGCAAGTATTCTCACCATACTTCACTATGAACATATTGGACAGGAGCGAGAACCTGTGCATGCTGCATATTATACTTGGGTAATTCGATAATTTTTCATCGAATGAATGAATATCGAATAAATTTGAAAATAAAAAATCTCGAATAAACGAATATCGAATAAATTCGGAAAGTCAAAAATATCGAATGAATGAATTCCGAATAAATTCGGAAAATCAAAAATATCGAATGAATGAATATTGAATATATTCGAACATTGGAAGTCGAATTTCGAATAAATATTCGAATGATTTATCGAATAACTAAAGCAATCACATCTCAAACTTGCCGACATATTTGGCTAAAGCCGATCCAATTATAATCAGCCCCCTAGTATCCCCTATACCAACTCCTAGTTCAAGATTTTTCAAAAATCGGTGAAATCGATGGTAAATTTTATTTTTAATCGGCGCCCTCATTTACCACTCTACCAACTCCCAGCCCCGCAGCTCAAACTTCTCTAAAAATCGATAAAATCGATAAAGTAAATTTTTATCCATAATCCGTGAAGGTGCACCAGCCAGCTATGAGCAGTCGCGCGCGTCGTGTAAGCGGCTGCACTTCGTGATCCTTGCGCGTTATGCGCCGCACGGGTAAGAACCGCATTTATACACTTTGATCTGCGGCTTTGTTCGACAGCAGACCTTATTTGTCAGGTCCACTGGATTTCAAAGACGTTTAGCAGAGTAAAGATAAAATTGGCCGGAGCTAAAATCTAAAAGTGAGAAACATTGCAACTTGGTGTAAGCACCTAACGAGCTGTTCGGATCATAGAGCTAGGTGTGCGATCTTTTGAAGCAATAAGGTGACCACATATGTATTTAAATTCCACAAATGCTACGATACATTGCCTGTTCATCGGAGACTTTCGTCTTGTGTGGTATACGCTAGGCGTAGACGAAGGCATGTGGTTTCCTCCGCGAAGCGAGCACGAATGCCCCTATAACCCCGGACATACTGCAGGCATTTCAGTGGCGACGTGGTATGGCAATACTCAAATTGTCCAAAACCTATTCTGAAAGTACAGAATGCAGGGCATCTATCATTTTAGTATATTGTACACGCTAAACATTTGTGGTAAACTGCCATTACATCTGAAGACATCTCGTAACTGGCAAATCGCGTACGGCGATCTAAAACGTCTAATCCTGCGCTACAACTGCGATGTCCTTTACTCAATATACACCAATGCGCAGAAAACTCCAAGGTAACGAATAGGCAGTTTTGAAATGATTTATGCGAGCAAGAGTGCTCACTAGTGTGGGCTTTGCGTACCGCAAGCATGAGCAATGCAAAAAGAGAAGAACAGCCATTTTAATTCAGTATGGACTCAGAACATGGGCTTGAATTTGATATCTTCTTTGCTGATTTGGTGCCAATAGCAGTGCGAACAATCTCACTGATCGAAAAAACATCAATTAAACTTATGAATTTTTTTACTGTCGCAAGCAGTCGGAAGAATGCGACTCTCCATACAGTTCAAAGGTATACCGGTTGCAAAAGATGCATTACCAAGTTTTGCGAAAAAAAAAACGCGGACGAAGTGAGCTTGATACTCAGCATTTGTCTCTGCAACAAAGTCTCAACAACACTCTGAATACGGAGTACATTCGAATACGAATTCGAATAAACATTCGAATAAAACATTCGAATAAAATCTATTCGTAACCACGTTTTTTGATTATTCGAGTTTTCGAATAATATTCGAAACCCTGTTTTTTGATTATTCGAGTTTCGAATATTATTCGAAAATGGAAGAACTCCGAATATCGAATTTCGAATACGAATATATTCGAATGTTTTATTCGAATGATCGAATTTCTATTCGATTCGGACCCAAGTATACTGCATATTCCAGCTGTTCGTATGATCCCTTGATGATCCCCGGCGGCAGACCGTCTTTTAATTTTTCGAAGTTAACAAGACATTTTAAGATTGTGCAGATTATTTAACCCAACAGTGCTTAGCATGGTGCTAATAAGTACAAATGATGTTTTAACATGTTGAAATGCGCTGAACCACAAGTTGAAAGATGGGGTTTTTCCAAAAATTTGGTATTTCAAAAACTCGTTTGTTCTTATCAGCAACATGCCTGGCACTGTTGGGTTAGACGAAACAGTACAACACTGGAAGGCTTTTGTTAACTTCGAAGGAAGAAAAATGACTTTGAAGAAAGGCGGTCGGCCACCGGGGATCATTGGGGTATCACACAAAAAGCTGGAAATGCAGCTCTTACAGCTTCTTGCCCCTGTTCAATATGTTCATAGTGAAGGATGGTGAGAATACTTGCAGATAGGTTATACGGCGTGTCATTCAAATATCTGGAGCTTCAGGATATGAAGCTTTCTTTTGAGCTGAGATCCTCTCTTCGGCGGGGATGTTAATGCATGCGGGCCCATGATGATGCTGCGGCCAATTCGAAAGTTTATTGTTGTAGATCGACTACATTATCTACAACCATATTGTAGACTTATCACGTATCTTATATTCAGTATATACTAGCTTGTCGTTGACAAACGTTACTGTTCACTGACCACTTAAGCCCCTGTTCACTTTGATATTACGGCCGCGCTTACTTTCATGTAGGCAATCCTTCATGCTGTATGATAGTGTTGTTTCATAAATGAACACATAGGCTACTCACGCCCACAACAGTGGTATTAAAGCAACTGAATGCTAATTCTTGTATTGGTTCATATTACCGCTTCGTCTGCGAGTGTTCGCATAATTACTGTTGATAGTCAGCGGCTGCTCGCTACTATAACAAACAATTATACAGCGTAGGGTGCCAGCTTAGTTCATCAAAAAGTTTTGAGTTACTGAACTCAATTTACCAGTGAAAAACGGGATACTCAGAGAAATGGAAAATGTCAGAAATGGGTTTTCAGCTTTCTAGGATTTTTCACTTTATGATGCAAGTATTTTTTAGAGCAGATATTTACAGGGAAAGATTTTTGATCGGCTAAAATCTATTTCATAAAGGAGCTTCGAATACTGATTCCAAACTCTTTCTCATTATCTGTTATGCTCTTTTGGACAGACTTGTGAATATTTCTTGGATCGGAAAATTGAACGTGCAACGACGTGCTTGTAAAGTCTTGTAGTATACAACTATCAGCGCTAGAACATCTCAACATTGTTTTAGAAAAAAAACATAAAGAACTTCTTTTTTCAGTTTCTGAGAGAAAAATACAGCAAGTATATAGAAAAATGTCTAATATGAAATGTCAATGCATGAGCAAGTTAGAATTTCTAAATGTTTCTTCTAAATGTACTTCCAATTTATTCTTAGTTTTTGGAGCGCTAGGTTCTTTTTCATTTTTGGCTTCAATCTTCACTTGGATCAAAGGTGCTGCAAAACTTTGAGCACTATCTTGTAGAGCTAGGTTTGCTCTATCGAAAGGTAATTAGGAATTATTTAAGACTAGATGGCATCCCCGGTCCTGCCCGGGAAGCGGGCTCTAATGCCCGGTGGAAGGCATTAGAATCCAAAAGCGTCAAGACTCACCTTTCTTATCCATATCTGAAGAAGCGCTTCCGCGACATATCCCGCTGACTCGAAGACCGGATCTTCCTCACCGTAAAATGTAAATGATCTTTACCGCCCTGCTTACCCAACTATGATCCAGGAATGACTGAAGTTTATACCCTTACATGTGAGTAAACAAATCAACAAATCGATAGGAGGACCCAGTGAATCGTCGCAAAAAGTAGCCTATCTTCTGCACCTGGTCTCATTTATAGAGGAGCAAATTTCAGCCTCATCGGTTCACAAACAAAGGAGTCTATAAGCCACGTACTTACATACGAACAAATTTACAGAGATTGAGTTTTGTTCATATATAGATATAGAAGAAATATGTTTTATTGCGATTCCTACCTATTTTGGTGCCTATGCATCAACCCAAGAAGACATTGACTGAATATCGTTTCGTTCGTTTTCTTAGTACTAAAATGCCTTTGAGGTAATGAAGTATGCATAGTGAGGTTCCCTGCAACAATGCGATTAACGGGAGTGTGAGTTTTGCGTTTAAAAACATTGGCGTTCAATTCGGTTCATTCAGTTGACCTCAGATTGTAACAAAACGGATATTTAGCGATGTTAACAATGATCACGTAAAAACGCTCGCACTCTTAATAAAGCAAGCTAAGAGTAGAAAACGATGTTTTTGTTTCTAACACAGTGGCAAGATGTAATTTTTTACAAATACATTCTCACTGAAAGCGATCACAACAAGAAACCAAGCCAGTTTGTAGTCTATGTACCGTCGGTACTTCACCTTCCTTCGTTTACTCGTCGAGCGGACAGACGCCTAAAAAGAATAACCACGTTATATGGAGATATTGCAGGAAAAATCAAAGACTGCTGCCTGTAACCGCACGAGATAATCAAAAGCGCGAGCGCTGTGGATAAAATTTGGCAAAGTCAGAAAAACTTGGCAAGGATATCCGTGTGGAAACAAATCATAACCCTGACAAAATTGAAAATTTCGCCTATGTCTAACCTGATTGCGCACAGATCCAGTCTAGGTATGGACGCACATCAACTGCCCAATTTTTAATATCTGAAAAAAAGTACATGAAATTTTAAACCGCTCGTTAAATATGGACTGACTGTGTCTATTAGTCCGCGTACAATCATCTCCATTACTGACAATCCCTATTAATACGTGTTTATGGTTACCATCTACTTGAAATAATGGACCACCGCTGTCACCCTGCATATAGCTTGTGTCTAGACACTCTCACGCAGTTCAAATCAAACCTTGCAAGTTGATTTTCCGTAAGCGTTTGTTACAATGCTTTTGAGAGATCTATCAACACCCGTAAATATTTGTGCCACTACACTTGGGTAATCAGGCTCTTTGATTGCTTTATTGTGGCTGAAAAATTTACTTAGATATGACAATGGCTAACAAGGAAAACACTCTCAGTCGAAGTGGCCTTTCCACATAAAATCTATATCGTTTCAAGAGCATCAAACGCTGAGTGCAAAAGCTGCTCAGTATCTGCTGTGCGCCGCTGGACGCCGAATTATAGTCGTTATTGAGTCGAAAAAGTGAACGCATAACTACGCAAAATCAATTAAACCGCCCAGATGGGCCAGTGTTCGGTATTAGAGCGCTTCATGCAATATGTACTTTCCAGCTTGTATACTCACACTTGCCGCAGCTTTACTCTTTTTCTGGGGGGATAGTAAAAGCTGATTTAATCCAGGTTATGCGTGCATTTTTTGATCCAAAAACAATTATAACTTGGCACCCGGAGACACGCAGCAGATAACAAAATCGATCTGGAATCCGCGTCTGATTCTGATTCTCTACAAAATGGTATGAAGCTCAACCGAAAAGGCCACTTCGACCAAAAACGCATTTCTTGTAATTACGAAATTCCTGTGATCTATGCCGTAACCGGTTGAGTAGAGTACTTCATTGATTAAGTGATCGTCTGTAGGCATGCAAATAGGCGTTGAAACAGAATTGGAGATATTGCTTTTTAGTTCTATCAAAGCTATGTCATCTTTCTTTTTACAAACATCGAAGTCAAGGGCTGTTATCTAAAACCGAAATAGGATTGTACTTCCCAGTATTTCTATCTCCTCCCTACTTTGCTCGCTTCGTAGCAAAGTTCGTCACAGTCGTCGGATTCATTCTCTTTGCTTCTTCCAACACGTATACACAAAGATTCTGGGTTACCCATTTTCCAAGCTACGCTAAAAAGACTGCACAGTAAAGGGCTTTGTTATAGACCATCACCAATTCATTCTAATGGAAAGTTACCTGTCAGGGTTTTCTTCGCATTTCTCATAGTTCGGCATATACATTACGCAGTGTGCTGCAGTCAGAATGTGTCGTGGCGAAATCTGTACACCAGTGCAAATTCGTACATTTTCTTAAATTTTTGACTGTTAAGCAAAGAAACCTTTGAGAACAACTAACTGATTTCTATACGGGCCGTCCACGGATATTCGTTACTTTGAACTTCTCTTCCTCCGACGGATCTGCGAACTCGAGAGGGTTGTTGATAGTTTTCTCCTGGTATCACAAATCAGCAGCAAATAAGCCATTGTCTTAGAATCTTACCAAGATGATGAACTCCGCAAACTTCCCCATTCCTCTGATTTTCATCGGTGCTGAGTTTTTTTGATGTTACCAAAACTGAGATTAATGGCAGCAAAGTAGTGAAGAACATGACAGTACGAGCTGTCTCGTAAGGAAGGCGCTTGCTTCAATAAATGAAAACTGTTTGACTGTCTTCCCGATGAGCTTATATTGGCAAGTTTCTTCGTCACATTTTGAATGAACAGAAGATAGCCACATATTCTGAAGACATTCTCTACATATCACGAATGACATCATCGAAATGAATACAGGTGTATGTGATGACTCTTGCATGTTCCTGATTCAGGACTTTCATCAAACATAAACATCTATCTAACGTCGCATTCGCTTTATAGCGAAAAGCAATAGATTCACCTCTCAGCTCATTTCATTTCTTCATTTCAGTCAATTATCAGTTACACTCACGTTTCAAGGTTAAATAGATTGACTTAGTGCACATGCAATATAGAAATAAATACATAATGGATGCATTATAAAGCGAATAGAATACAAAGATTTAGAAGTAAAGATAAAGCTTATCTAACAATTCGCTAGATATCAGCAAAATTATACGAGCTCAGACATTCTGGGAATAGTAAAAAGCGGCGAATGCTGAGACCTGGATTCAAATCGACGAAACTCTATAATGGAAGAAAATTGACTTTTTCACCATATTGTTCGTTTGGGGTAAAAAGTGGTCGGAATCTGCTATCGCCCGCGTATTCTATAATCTCTAGCCCATCGCAACCATGAAGAAAAGCGATGTAATAAAATGATTCAACCTTACCTGAGTAGGAAATGGTCAGGATTAACCCAGCCATTCCAAAAAGCTGTATATCGTCGTACTCGCCTTGAAACGCTGATTTAAATATTTGTTTACTATCTGCCAAGCAACTATCTGGGCGAAGTTACGAGTGCTCAAATATGAGAAATTTGATCCAACGAATATAAATAGTTCCTTTAAAAGGCGGCCTGATAGCGCAAATTTACGGTAGTCATGGATATTTTAACCACAAGGAAGCACATTCACCAAGAACCTGTGCAAGTGTTTGTGCAAGTGTGCAACTCGTGAAAAATGCGTCTCAGAACACTTGACAAATCGCACATTCAAACGCCTATAACTCCGTCCAGATAGTCGCTTGGCAGACAAACATATATTTGAAACCAGCGTTTCAAAGCGAATCCGATGATATACAGCTTGTTTGGTACGGCTGGGTTAAGTTCTGACCACTTCCTGCTGAGCTCTCGTTAACGAAAAGCATGCACAAAATGGGATTTACCTCCATTTTAAATGGATTTGAAAGCCCATTTTACTCCCACAGCATGGTGATCTGGGACTAAGCCCTTTGTTGACCTTTTTGCATATTTCGATTGCGATTTTTGTGAGTGTGTTCCCCAGCCCATTATAGAGTGATGGGTAAACCAAGACACTTTTATCTCTTTCATGAAGTCTAGTGTTTCTGAAGCTATTCGAAACACCTTAAAATCTTGGACGAAAGTTACATCTATTTAGAAATGAGAAAACTTAATTGCTTTGAAACATTAGATCAGTGCAAAAGAGCACTACAATAAACTTATTTGATGAAACCATAAAATCCTAAACCTAGATCTGTGCTTTGTAGTGAATAAGGCTTAGCTCTTTACGTTGTTGTTTCACCTTTCAGAAAACCAAACTTTCAAAACGGCGCTTAAAAATGTGTGATTTTGAGTTTGATAGTAAGGTGGGGCGCCACTAGCTAGCCCCAATAAATCCGTAGAGAAATCTCACATAGCAGCAATCCGTGCATAGTTCAGGCCTTAATCTCGCATGGAAACGCAAAAACTAATAATGTATAAAAAATATAGTTTTGCACGAAAATATTTTTATTACGACATATAATAGCGACACTGTTTGATGCCCTGAAAGAAAAGTTGCAGTGCTTATGGTGATTACTACCAAGGCAAGGACGCTTAACCGCAATAGATGCTCCTTGAAACCCCGATGCCAAATCTGTGTTCATTATCTGTTGTGCGACTCTCTAAACGAAATTAGGGACTTATTTCCATACCAATTTTACGAGATCTAAGCAGTGAGGATTGTAAGTATACACTCTTTTCAGACTCGGATACATCGAAGAGCGGTTTTTGAGCCCAACATAAAACTTCACATTTGTACGCTTTTTTGTAAGTGCCATTTCAACAGTAGGGTAACCCTGGCATTTAACAAGGGAAGGATGTTGGTTGAAGTGGTCTTTCAAGATGATATCATCTCAAAGGGCATAAAACACTGAGTTTCTAGACGAGGAGTCATGGGCGTTTATCAAAGCAAAAAATTGGATGCGCCACCTGGATATAATCACTCGCTATATTTTTCCTAGATCTCAAATGCAGCAGTAGTGGTTGTCAAAGCACTCCATGCGATAAATACCTTTAGTTTAAATACAGCTTCAATCAACGCTGCCTATCTCGGACCAGAAAGTTTTCAAAAACTGGTTTTATCTTATCCTAGTTGTTCCTTCAGTTTTTTACACTTATAAACCCTCATAACACCTCTCCCATGTTCCGCAGATAAAGAAGACAAATCTGGAGTCAGCCCTCCAAGATGATATGCATCTCATCTCGAAAGGCCACTTCAACCAAGCATCCTTTCCATAAGCAGTGCGGATTTTGGTGGAAACAGTGCTTATAACTTTTTTGCGGATGAGCGCACAGCTAATTCCTAAAACAGACTTGACATCAGTCAGCGCTTCAATGCCTTTAATGTTGTGCGCCAGCGTGCGCGAAGACCCTAGTACACGATTCTTCCGGTTTTTTGAATAAATATTGACTCGCATCTTACTGTAAATCTAAGCTAAAGTCAGCTCTACAGATTGGTGCCCCAAGTTCGGCAAAAGACATGAAAGAAATGGAGTTATCAATGGTCAAGCAGTGTTCAATTTTGAGACACCATTACATACTAGGTTGAGAAGTTTTTTACTTTTTAGTACTGCCTTTGAGTTCCCCTCAAGCACTGGTTCTGGAAATAAAATTGGGTAATCGTTGTGTAAGATTTTCTTATGCCGAAACCAGGTTAATTGGTGGAACTTCATTGACTCAACGTTTCAAACAATTCGTCTTCGTCGGGAGTCTGAAAAGGATCGTAGGTATTCGTACTTCCACTACATCGCCAAAAGTCTCGTCAAACGCTGCCCGTTTAGACCTTCCCTGGTGCAATGTACTGAAAAGCAAAACGAGAGTGCCAACCTCAGTCCACCATAAGACCAGTAGCCCGCACAACTGTGACGGACGCAACTGAATTTATACTCAGTGTGTCAAGTTATATATATTATGTGCGGATGTGAGCTTGCATAATGATAACAGTGGTAAGAGATCACTCATAATGGCAATACATTCATTTTATCATTCATAGCAGGATTCTTAGAAGATATCCTTGCTGCTTCCAGCGTTTTTCGCGCTCAAATCTCATTCTCAAGAGCCAGTGCAGTACATTTAACGTCGAATAAGGTGCCATCGTGTGCTTCAAATCTATGTTTACTCAAAGGTGATGCTGGAGTTCCTCGCTTCATGCTAGCCAAATGTTCTTCAATCCTAGTGCTCAAAGGTCTACCCGTTCGAGCACTATGTATAATGCTCCGCAATTTAAACATTCTAATTGGTGTATAACTTCCGATTTTGCACAAATCTGCTTTACATTAAGGGCAAACAATGCAGTCCTCAATGTACATTGTATGTCGTAGCATCTGTTTCTAATCAACCGCTTTTTGATGTTGTTACTGGGTATATCAACTAATCTGACATC